CTTAGCCACTGAGCTACATCTCTAGCTCTTTTTGAAACAACACCTTACTAAGTGGATGAGGCTATCCTTGAACTTACGACCCTCCTGCCTGAGCCTCTTGAATTGCTGGGATTATAGGTGTGCACCATTGTGTCTGATCCCACACCTCTTAACACAGCACAAAGGTATGAAATATGTAACTAAATTTTTTTCTTCAAATTTTGCTTCACTTAAATAAATAAAGATTAAAAAAAAAGAAATCTTGCTTCAAAAAAATTTTGTGATTCATGATGCTAAACAACTCCCTGCAGGAGTCTACATACCCAGGATTCACCCTGTCCTTTCCCCTCTACACTTTAGGTATCTCTATGTCCAGAGACCTCTTTCTGGAAGAACAGCTCATCTGTCTTCCTACAGTGGGGAAACTTTCCTAGATTTTCAAAGCAAAACTGTGTCCTTGTTCTGGCCACTGAATCCCACAAGCTAAATTGAAGACCATTTCTTCCGGAGGTAAGGTGGAAGAAAAGGTACAGAATGCAGGATTCGCTGTCAAGCCCAAGAAAGATACAGCACAGTGAACCAAGAGGCCTGAGGATAATCAGGCAAGCGGTGTTTGACAGGGGTAAGGACAGTAAGGTATGTCATACCGATGAGCTGCAGACTGAGCTGCAGGGTGATTTCTCAATGAAATTTTCTCCCAACCCAAGCAAACAAAAATAAACTTTCATAAGCCACTTAGAAATCAAGTTTTCAGGAAAGGCAGATGATGCAGAGGTGAACAGAATCTCCTTTTCTGTGGTGCTGAAGAGGGAACCCTGGGCCTCCTGCATACTAGTTTAGCACTCTGTCACTGATAACACTCCAGCCCAGGATCTCCTTTAACAAGACAAAAAAGATATGAGATTTTTTTCCCCTAAGTATTTCTAAAACTTCACATTCTTTTGATATCTTGTCTTCTTCTTATTATTAACAACATATCTGTAACCGACATCTTCTTTCCCCAAAGGCATGCTTACCTGCCCGTCTTTTAATTCTTTTTCATTATAGAAAGAACAAAATTTTTCATTCATGACTCAAAATCATTTGTTCACGCGAGCTTTGTCTTGGGCTCAAAAAGGGGTTCCCGGAGGTCTGATGATGCTACAGGACAGCCAGAGGTCCGCCGGTTCTACCTTGGCCCTCCTCCCTGCGCTCATTCAGACCCGGAGGAAGAAAACAGTCCCACTGTGCCATCACCACGGCATCGCTGGTTTCTGTGAGTCCTGAAGAAGTCTCTGAGGCTATGACGCCTCGGCTCTGCAAAACACAGAAGAGAAAGCTAGCCTCTTGGTTCAGTTATGCCTCTACTGAGAAAAAAAGAGACTTAAAATCTTTAAACAGATGTGAATTTATTCTGAATAAATGAGCCGCCGTGGCCAGAGGCAGCCTCCTACGACCCGGGCCACAGGTGGAGAGGCGGGGACAGACCTCGGCGCGCGGAGGGCAGCGACACGGCTCTGGGCTGGGGTGACTTCAGGACCTGCGGTTCTGGGGACCGGGCCAGCTAACCCGGGAGCGGAGCGCAGGCGGCCCCGGCTCTGAGCCTCAGCTTTGCTTCCTTCCCAGCACCGGTCGCGTCGGGGCTGACAAAGCCTGGTCCGGCCCCCGGGGAGGTGGACTGTCCAAAGCAGCCACCGCCAACTGCTGCACGCCCTGCACCACCGCGGTCACCTCACGGCGCCGACCTCAGGCGTGACTGGACGTCGCGGACGTCCATCGCACGGCCCCTAGGAACTCGGTTAGTCCCCTAGGCCCACGCCGCGGGGCGGATTCGCTCCCTGGCCTGCAGGCGGCGGTACCCGGGGCGGGTTGCCCTGCGGTGCGTCACGGAGGGCCCTGGCAGGCGGCTCACGGCACCCTCGGCCAGCCTGCCTGGTCGGGCTCGGCGTCTGCTCCCGGGCGGCGGGCCCTGGCCTCGGTCCCCGAGCCCGTCGGCTCCGGCCTCGGTCAGGGTGCGCGCCTCCCGGCCGTGCGCGGCCCCGCGGCCCGGCCTCCTTTCAGCGCCGCCCGCTCACCGGGGTCCGTGCGCCCCAAGCGGCGCCATCGGTCTGCTCCGCGCAGGCGCACGCCGCTTCGGCTGTGAGCCGCCCTTCCGGGCAAGCGGCGAGCTCGGCGCGCGGCCAGGCCTGTACCGGGGGCCGGAAGTCCAACCGGCGCTGGGAGCCTGCTTCGCGTGGGCGTGGTCAGAACCGCCTCAGTCCCGGGACCCGAGGGCGGTGCGACCGGCCCTAAAAGCTGTGCGCTTCGTTTCCGCCCAGACTTCTGTGAGCCGTCGGGATGTGGCTCTCCCTGGTGCTGCTGTTGGTGCTGCTGCTGCTCGCGGGCGTCCGCCGTGTCTACTTGGGGCTGTTCGCCGGGCGCTCCCCGAACCCCTTCTTGCAGGACGTCAAGCGGCCGCCCGCGCCCCTGGTGACCGACAAGGAGGCCAGGAAAAGGGTTCTTAAGCAAGGTCAGCCGGACGAGGGGTCCGCGCTGCGCTCGGCGGCCTCGCGACCTGGGCTGGCCTCAGTTTCCCTGTGATAAAGTGCCGGGAGGCTTCCTTGGAGTGGGGCCCGTTTTCGTGGGTGCGCGGTGATGACTTTGCGCTTGCAAGCCCGGAAGCTGCTGCCCGAGGGCTTGTCCTTGTCTTGGCACTGCCTAGGCTTGTGATGGCCGGCGATGCCCTGCCCTGCGTCCTTTCCCCGATTTGGCTCTCTGACCCTGTGCGGGCTCGCACAGAAATCTCTCCCCATTGCAAGAGGAAATGGCTTTTGCAGGCCAAGGGATTGGACGGGGTAGGCGTGGCCCCAGTTTATAGAACTGAGTCTGGATTCTGAACTTGGGGAGAGGCTCAACAGGGTTTCTCAGCTCTGAACCCACTGCTCTAGTCCACCAGCACCTGCATTCGTCGTGAAACTCAAGTGGGGATACCTGCAAGGTTAGAGAGAGTTTCGATGGAAAAAATAAGCAAAAAACAAAACGAACAAAAACCCCCCAAAATATTGTTTGATCTCCAACGGCGCTCTTGCTTATAGATTTTTTTCCCTCTGTGACCAAACTTGCTATAGTCAGCCAATACTTTTTGTCTTTCTTTCCTTTGTGTGTGTGTGTGTATGTGTGGGAGGGTAGTAGGATTGAATTTAGGCTTTACATGCTAGGAAACTGCTGTACTACTGAGCTACATACCCAGCCCTTTGTACTTTATATGGCCTGGAACTTGTGATCCTTCTGCTTCAACCTCTTGGTTAGCTGTGATAACAGTTGTGCATTGCTGTGCCTGGCACTAGGCACGATTTTTAGATTAGATGTATATGCAAGTGCCCATTAGCACAAATTGTTCCTCTTAAGGTGTTCCCCTCTCCTTCCCAGTGTAGGGGGTGGTGCTGTGATTTCTCAGAGCAGTAGGCTCTGGGCATTACTGTCCTGCTGAGCCTCTGAATCAGGATCTGGAAGAACCACATGCACACCAGATGCTCTGGTGGCATTTGCAGACCCTACATCATCCGAAGAAACCCAGCTTGTGAATGGCTGGTTCCAGCCTGCCCTTTAGCATTCTCCCCATCCCCCACTCCATTTTCTTTCTTTCCTGGCTCTTGCTTCCTCAGAAGTGTCTACACTGAGGTGTATCCACCTGTTATCCTCTTTCTCTTTTTGTTTCTGTAGTTAACTGATTTCTACTTTCTTTTAAAGTTGTAAAAATCCACAGGTATGTAGTGGTTGTGGTTAAATTAGTTCAGACAATGCAAATCGCTGGCTGGTTATGACTATTCCTAGGTGAATTTAGAAACCTTAGTCAACAGCTACACTGCTCTAAGTTTTCTTGCAGTCCAAGCTAGAGGAGTCTTCTCTGTCTTTGCCATTTTCCTGCCCCTGTCTGAGAAGCCCACCCTCTTCCTCCTCCCTTCTGCTGCAGTTTTCTCAGCAAGTCAAGTGCCAGAGAACCTGGATGTGGTGGTGATTGGCAGTGGCATTGGGGGCCTGGCTGCAGCTGCGATTCTGGCGAAAGCTGGCAAGCGAGTCCTGGTCTTGGAGCAGCACACCAAGGCAGGGGGCTGTTGTCATACCTTTGGCAAAAATGGCCTTGAGTTTGACACAGGTGAGGCTTGTGTGGAACAGGGCTGGGATCAGTGCTTGGGGGACACATTTCTCTGTCCTGCAGGTGCCATCTTCTTTCTGGGAACCACTTTCCTTGTCTGACAGCCATACCACCTGATGTGGTGGGTCTGCTCTGCCACCTCTCTGCAGGAAGGAGGGGCAGCGGTTCTGGTCCATCTTTTCCCCTTCCCAAGGCTCAGTCCCATTATCCCTGAGCCACCTTGTCTTTCCACCTCCCAACAGGGATCCATTATATTGGGCACATGGAGGAGGGCACCTTTGGCCGCTTTATCTTGGACCAGATTACTGAAGGGCAGCTGGACTGGGCTTCTCTGTCCTCGCCTTTTGACACAGTGGTACTAGACAGGCCCAGTGGCCGAAAGGAGTTCCCCATGTACAGCGGGAAGAAAGCATACATTGAAGGCCTCAAGGAGAAGTTTCCCCAGGAAAAAGATGTCATCGACAAGTACATAAAGCTGGTGAAGGTAACTTGGACTTGCTCAGGACCCAGTTCATTCCCAAGACCGATCTTCCTCATTAGTGGAGTACCTGAGCAGGGGAGTGGCTGGAGTGGGTAGCCCCAAGGGCCAGGAGGAGGGCTCATGGATGCCACTCCCACTCTGGCCTCTGGAGGGCACTTTGCTCTCCTGGCTATGCTGCCTTGCAGGTGATAGATCTCTACTCATTTTTATTTCTTCTAAGACCAGATGGGATTTCTGAAAAGGAATTTGACCAGGAAATTTATAAGCAGAAAAGCCTCATCTGAGTATGCAGGAAGGGAATATTTAGAGTACAGAGTCTCCCCACCCAATTCAGGCTGGGTGCAGTGGTGCATACTTATAACCCCAGCTATGGTGCTGGGGGACAGAGACAGGAGGATCCCCTGTTCAAGATCAGCCTGGGCAACTTAGCAAGACATGTCATTTGTTTATTTATATATGTTTATTTATACATACATAAATACTGGGCAGAGGTACTCTACCACTGAGCTACATCCCGAGCCCTTTTTATTTTTTATTTTGAGTCTTGCTAAGTTTCCCAGGCTGGCCTCAAACTTGCAGTCCTCTGGCCTAAACCTCTAGAATTGCAGTAATTACAGGCATGTGCCTCACTGAGATCTTGTCTCAAAATGGAAAAGCCCTGGGGTGTAGCTCAGTGATAGAGCATCTCTGGGTTCAATCCTTAGCACTGCAAACACACACAAAAAAAAACAAATAAAATTAAATACTTGAAGCAGGGCATGATAGCACATGCCTGTAATCCCAGTGGCTAGGGAGACTGAGGCAGGAGGATCACTGGTTCAAAGCCAGCCTCAGCAAAAGTGAGGCACTAAGGAACTCAGTGAGACCCTAACTCTAAGAAAAATATAAAATAGGGCTGAGGATATGGTTCAGTAGTTGAGTGTCCCTGTGTTCAGTTCCTGCTAACAAAAATAAATATTTTTAAAGTAAATTAAAACTAAAGTCCAAATTCAGCAATGTTCAACGAAGGGTAAGTATTGCTGGCCCTCAGCCGGTGCAAGCTATTAGAAGGGATGGTGTGTCAACTGTCCCAGAGTAAGGCCTGTTCCCACACTTGTCTTCTTTCCCAGGTGGTAGCGGATGGATCCATTCACGCCATCTTGCTGAAGTTCCTCCCATTGTGCGTGGCCCAGCTCCTCAGCAAGTGTGGGCTGCTGACTCGGTTCTCTCCATTCCTGCATGCGTCCACCCAGAGCCTGGCTGAGGTCCTGCAGCAGCTGGGGGCCTCCCCTGAGCTCCAGGCCGTGCTCAGCTACATTTTCCCCACCTATGGTGTGTGCTAGCTGCAGGCTGTGCTCCCTCCTTCTGGCCTCTATCTTCTTCCTGAATCTGCCTGGCTGACAAACGGACCAGAATGGCCTGGCCCTCTGCAGCTTGTGCCGCTGTGCAAGTCCCCTTCAACCATTCCCTGGGTGATTTTTCTCTTAGCCAACACCAGGCTCCTGGTGTTGGTGACATGTAGTTTGCAGGCAGTACCTTCTTACTGGACCCTAGGTTGTAAGGGTCCTGGTGGGATGGAGATGGCTCCTGCGGTGGCCCTAGCCCCTAGGAGCCTTGGGTCCTGTGATGGACTCTGGTGGTGTGTTGTTCCTTTCTGAGTGGTCCTGGTACCTGTTCATAACCCTCCTCCCCTCTTCCTGCAGGTGTGACCCCCAGCCGTACCACCTTTTCCATGCATGCTCTGCTGGTCAACCACTACCTACAGGGGGCCTTTTATCCCCGAGGGGGTTCCAGTGAAATCGCCTTTCATATCATCCCTGTGATTAAGCAAGCCGGGGGCGCTGTCCTCACAAAGGCCACTGTGCAGACTGTGTTGTTGGACTCAGCTGGGAAAGCCTGTGGTGAGAGCTGTGCTGTGGGCTCCGGGGTCCCTGAGGGCAGAAGGCACAGAGGAACCCACCTTCTGCAGGCTGAGGGGCCAGGTGTGCTGCAGAGTGTGGCGGGTAGCAGAGTGATGAGTCTGGCATGAAAAGGGCCACGTGGGCTCCAAAGAGCCATTCTGAATTATTTGATAGATAAAAATATTTATCCAGTGTTCTGTGACCACCTTCTTGATTGTAGGGGCTGTCATTTTCTCTTGGTGGTACTGGGGACTGAACCCAGGGCTTTGCACCTGCTATGCAAGTGCGCTACTCTGAGCTATGTCCTTAGCCCAAGGCTGTATCTTCTTTATGTTTTTTTTTTGAGTCGAGATCTCACAGTGTTGCCTTTAGTGGGCTCAAACTTGCCGTCCAGTAGCCAGGACAGCAGTTGTCTGTCTTCACATCTTCAGAACCTGCTGGGTGACTGATGGTGGGCTGCTGAGCAGCCGGTGTCAGGGTGTCGGCTGTGGGCCTAGTTCTACGTAGTAGCCAGGGAGAGGCAGAGGTGAGGCTGGACATGGAGGGACCAGATCACAAGGCTCAGAGGAGGTGTCAGTGGGGAGTGTTTAGGGTACTTGCCTCCAGCAGCAGTGAAGGGGCCTGGGAGTTGGTGTGCTAGGGATGGGTGGGGTCTTGGCCACAGGAAAGTTAATCTGCCATGTGGAGGGAGCCAGGCAGGTCAGCACAGAAGCGACTGTGGCAGAGGTGGAATGCTTGTGGTCACCTCCCTGCCTGGCCCTCAGCAGGCTGGACTCCCAAGTCTGAGGAGATGGAGTGTAGGCCAGACCTGTCGAGGTCTCCTCCTGGAGCTCACAGAGCCTCAGCCAAGCTCCTGTGCTGCAGGTGTCCGTGTGAAGAAGGGACAAGAGCTGGTGGACATCTACTGCCCCACTGTGGTCTCCAACGCAGGCCTGTTCAACACCTATGAGCACCTACTGCCGGAGAGTGCCCGCTGTCTGTCAGGTATGGCTGCTCTGCTGCTCCAGGCTCTGGCATGGACATGCTCAGCCTGGTGACGCCCCTCTCTGACTGTCTCAGCAGGTAAGTACTCTGAGCTGTAGCATCATCCCCATGTCTGTGGCTGGGGAGGTGGAGGCCCTGACAGGGGACCGAACCCCTCCCTCTGCCACCCAGCCAAGTGCCAGAGCCGTGAGGAGCCTGGTCTCAGAGGGAGAGCCAAGCTCTGGGGCACTCCCTGCAGGGCCGGGATGTGTGGAGTGCTGAGATGGGAAGTCACGTCAGGACAGCATGTGACTTGCAGCTTGGTGTGACATAGGGAATGGAGGTTGCTGGCCAGAGGGGACAAGTCACTCAGGAGGGATGACAAAGGCCTCTGGCAGGGGCAAGAGGTGGGAAGGACAGAGCGGCCCTGACTGGCTGGGATGGAGTTCGTGGCAGTGGGGAGGGGGCTGTCCACTCTAGGATTGTGCTAGAGAGGCTGAGCAGTGGTTTGGCAGAACAGTGTGGTCCTGGGTCTCCTGGGGAGGGCAGGGGGGGGTGATAGCTGTATTGTCTCTAAGAGTTAAAGTGGCGTGCAGCTTTCTGTCACTGTGATAAAATACCTGAGGTGATCAATTTAAAAAGAGAAAAGGATCTGCTTTGCCTTATGGTTTCAGAGGCTTCATCTGTGTCAGTTGGCCCGTTGTTTTAGGCCTGTGGTGGCACAGGATGTCACACTGTGGAGTGTGTGTGGGGGAGAACTGTCCACCTCATGGCTGCCAGGAACCAGAGAGAGAGAGAAGGCCGGGCATGGTGGTGCATACCTGCAATCCTAGCAACTTGGGAGGCAAGGCAGGAGGATGGGAAGTTTGAGGCCAGCCTCAGCAATTTAGCAAGGCCCTAAGTGACTTAGTGAGACCCTGTCTCAAAACAAAATATAAAAAGGGCTGTGGAAGGGCTGGGGCTGTGGCTCAGTGGCAGAGAGCTTGCCTAGCATGTGAGGCATTGGGTTCGATTCTCAGCACCATAAAAATAAAATGAATAAAATAAAGTCTGTCAACATCTAAAATAATAATAATATAAAAAGGGGGGCTATGGATATAACTCAATGATTAAACACTCCTGGCTGGGTTCAATCCCTAGTACCAGAAGAACAAAAACAGTGGGAAAGGGGCTGGAGTCCCATGTATGCTTCAAAGACACTCAGTGACCTAACTCCCTCCCACTGGGCCCACCTCCTCAAGGCTGAGCCACCTCCCAGTAGCACCACATACTGGTGACCAAGCCTTGAGGGATACTTATCAAAACCACAGCAGTTGGGCATGTGATTCCAGTGGCTCTGGAGGCTGAGGCAGGAGGATAGCAGGTGAAAGCCAGCCTCAGCAATTTAGCAAGGCCCTAAGCAGCCTAGTGAGACCCTGTCTCAAAAAACAAAAAAAAAGTGCCAGGGATGTGGCTGAGCACCCTTGGGTCCTAAAAACCGCCACCCACAACAGATGAGTGTCACAAGCTGGTATCTGCTGGCAGTTGTGTCTCAGGATGAATTGAGTGGGGCATGATAGGGACTGCCCAGTGCAGGGCAGGGGGGCCTGGCCTGGCTGGACAGACTGGCCTTGCCTCCTCCTCTTTTAGGATTCTGCCCTGACAGGCCCCAGGTCCCCCTGCTCCTCTCCAGGCCACCAGCCCCATAGCAGGTCTTGCCCGCATGTATCCTAGCCCTGAACAGTCCAGGGCACACCAGCTGGCTTGGGTGCTCGGCCCCTTGGGTGCAGGGTCAGAGACTGCCCCAGATGAACCCAGGTGCCTGCTCTAGGAGCTGGGTGGTGCTCCTTCTTCCCAGCTCTTTGGGGTGGGGATTTTTTGGTATGCCTTTCAGACAGGAGCCAGATATCTGGTGGCCTCTGGGGCCGGTGGGGCCAGCTAGACCAGGAGTGGAATTGCTGGACCTGGCAGCGGATCCTTCAGGGATGGGAGGCATCCTTTCTTCCACCTACAGAGGCCAGGAGACACTGGGGTGGTCCAGAGGGAAGGGTCTGGCTTCCCAGCCTCTTCCTTCCAACTGGGGAGAGAGGGGCCTCTGGAGACAGGGGCTCTCCTCCATGCCTGCCTATACCCAACCTGGATATAGGACCTAGGTGACTGCAGCTGTGGAAGCCCACGTTCTGTGTCTCCTGTGCGCCCCCAGAACTGGGTGTCCTGCCATGGCTGTCTATAGCGCCTCCCTCTGTGTCCCTGTCCTCAGCACATGGTTCCTCCAGGAAAGCCTCTTCCCAGCAAATGGGCCTCCTGTCACTGCTGTGAGCCAGGGCTAGCTCCGCAGGGCCCAGTACATGTTAGGGCATCAGCCAATCCTTGTTCACGGAGGAGGCAGAGTAGCAGCGGTTGAGCTCTCACACAGCTGCTGGAGACAGGTCTGGAGGTAATGGATAAGAATTGTGGGTAAATTTTCTAAAAATTGGTCTGGGATCATCTGTTGAGAGGGGAAGCCCAGTGGTTTAGGTCTGGGGTGCCTCGCAGTTGAATGCTGAGCTAATGTTGTTTGACTTGCAATCACATGCATGGCCTGTCATCTCGAGGCCTCGTGACAGAGCACATGGGGACTACCACTGTTTTCATTAGATGGCTGTGTTACATACTGACAGTAAGGCTGTGACAAACTACTATTTGTGTAGTCTTTGTAAGTTGTCATCTCCTCCTCACTTAGATTGAAGGGGTGATGGAGCAGTCAGATCCACTGTCCTGTAGGTGCTGCAAACCAGTGGCAGCCAAGGGCTGGGCTCAACTGAGCAGAGCTGGAGCCTGAGGCCGTGTGTGACACAGGCAGGGGCAGGTGAGCAGGCAGAAAGGCCTGGACCCTCTCCTCAGTGGCAGCCGAGGAATGGGCTGCAGATGTCTGGAGCAGGGAGTGCCTGTGTCTGTCCACAGTTCACCTGCTTTGTCTGGCAGGTGTGCAGCAACAGCTGCAGATGGTGCGGCCAGGCCTGAGCATGTTCTCTGTCTTCATCTGCCTGCACGGGACCAAGGAGGAGTTGGGTCTGCAGTCCACCAACTACTATGTTTATTTCGACATCAACATGGATAAGGCGTAAGCGTGTGCATGTGGGCATAGGGTCAGCTGGGCCGTCAACCCACGGGGACCCTGTGTTCAGTTGGGGGATAGGCATCGGCTGGGCCATCAACCCACAGGGGCCCTGTGTGCATGCAGAGACAGGTGTTGGCTGGGCTGTCAACCCACTGGGGCTTCCTGCCTGGACACTAGGATGAGCAGTCAATAGGCCATTCCAGTGTGCTCCTGGAAGGTTCACATGGCAATGTGCCCAGCCTCATCTCCAAGGAGGTCCTGGGGACGAGTGGAGGCTTTGAGGTGAGGCCTGGCATTGCAGCCACACTCCTCTCCCCACAGGATGGAGCGCTACATCTCCATGCCCAGGGAGAAGGCTGTGGAACACATACCCCTCTACTTTATTGCTTCCCCTTCAAGCAAGGACCCGACCTGGCCCGGCCGCTTCCCAGGTAGGTCCATATTTTGAAGCTGCCTGGGTCAGCGGTGGGTGGGACTGCACAGCAGTAACCCCGCTGTGCGTCCCTAGACCGGTCCACGCTGACTGTGCTGATACCCACCGCCTACGAGTGGTTTGAGGAGTGGCAGGAGGAGCCGCAAGGGAAGCGGAGCCACGACTATGAGACCCTCAAAAGCTCCTTTGTTGAAGCCTCCATATCCGTGGTCCTCAGACTGTTCCCACAGCTGGAGGGGAAGGTAGGGTGAGCATGCAGGTGGGGACCCCGCGTCCAGGAGGCAGAGCTCAGGTTGTCGGGGCTCCCACTCATGCCCTCCCTCCTGCCTTAGGTGGAGAGTGCCACGGGAGGGTCCCCACTGACCAATCAGTTCTTCCTGGCTGCTACCCGAGGGGCCACCTATGGGGCCGACCATGACCTGGACCGCCTGCATCCTTACGTGATGGCTTCCATCAGGGCCCAGAGCCCCATCCCCAACCTCTACCTGACAGGTACACTGCCCATTCTGCCAGGATCCATGACCTTGGGCCTCCCTGGCATCCAAAGACGGGAGCCTGGCCCTCCCTCTCTTCACGTGGTGGACATTCACAGTCTGTGCTCTTGCCTCCTAGGCCAGGACATCTTCACCTGCGGATTGATGGGGGCCCTGCAAGGGGCACTGCTGTGCAGCAGTGCCATCCTGAAGCGGAACCTATACTCAGACCTCAAGGATCTCGGCTCAAGAGTGCGGGCCCAGAAGAAGATGATGTAGTTCTTTAGGGACAATGAGTGGCCCCTGCACCTGCCCTGACCCACCTGTAATGCCTTTACTGCACTGTTAATTCTTTGCACACAGAAAGCACTAATTGCACTGATTTCTGAACACACTTCTCCAGTGGAGTTCTTCCTTACCTCTGAGGACATATCTTTCCTCCTCAAGTGGCCAGGCTGCTGATGTGGACAGTTTGAGGCTCAGATAGGTGGTGCTGTGGTAGAAAGTCGGTCAGGACTAGGATGTGAGCAAAGCCCAGAGATGACACCTGTAGTTTGCTGGTACATATCCAAGTTGTTCATCCCCCATGCCTCCCCTTTTGATTTGGGGTATCTGTACACAATGAGATGCCTTAGGGATGGGACCTAGTTCTAAACAATTAATTTTGCAGTGCTGGTGATGGAACTCAGGGCCTTGTGTATGCCAGGCAAATGCTCTGCCACTGAGCTGCACCCCCAGGTCAAAAATTGCATTCATGTTTCATATATACCTTATATACAAACCAAGAGTAATTTTATGATACTTGGAACAATTTTTTTTTGCATTTTGACTTCTTGTCACATGAGGTCACAATGGCACTCAGAAAACTTTGTAAAATCCAAGAATTCTTGATGTCAGTAAGGGATGCTCAGCCAAAGATTAAGAAAGATACCATTTTCCCTTATTACCCGAATCACCAAGTGTCTTATTTTTAGTACACTTTAATACAGAATTAATAAATGTAATGGTTTCATTGCTTTATCTGAAATTTATTTTGGTTTCCATTCAGTGACAAAACCACATTGAGATGGCATTTACAGAAGCTCATTAAAACATGTACTGAAAAATATCATTACACCAAATAAGCTTTAAAAAAATAAAATTATGTAATTAAGTTACAAAGAACTGAAAATATAAAACAGTGCTAAACCATGACAACCTATTCATTGGGCAAACAAAGGGAAACAATTTCAATAGTTGATCATGTACTTATCCCACTAGTTTATGAATTAAATGAACACCTATCAGAGTGTGAGGGCCTGGCTCTGTGGGCAGCTTGAAATACTGTGCAGCTCAGTTCCAAGCCCATTATAGAGGGGTTTCCAAGTTGGAATACTTAGAATCCACATCTGACTTGGGGAACTGCGGAGGTGAGTCACTCTTGGCTAAGTGAAGCCTCAACGTCTCTTTCCAACATTCCTGCTTAAGCAAGGCAATGCCAAGTGCAGGCTTCCTGGCAAGGGCTTTCAGAATGGGTAAGCACAGGGCTGGTGTGTGCACGCCCGTGTGCCCAACTGGTGCATAATGTGATGGGAACAGGAACTAGAGAAGAAGATGAGCATCACCACTGAGCATTTTGGAGGCAGAGTTCTATCATCAAATGTTGAAAAGACAGGGAAAAACATGTCAGTATGTGCAGCTAAGTGTCAGATCTTTCTGAGTTGCCTCAGCCTTTCCAGAGAGCTGGGTCTTCAATGCCTGAGGACTCTAGACAGTCCAGTCCCTAATGTATAGCATTATCCACGACTGAAGCCCCTTCCTCCTAACAGCAGAGGAAGCCCACGGCCATCTCCACAGGGGGCCTCTTGTGGCTCCACCCTAGCCCCTGGCTTGAGACCCCTCAATAGGTCATCCCCATCCACACCAGCTTGGGAAAACATGCTTCCAATATATTCCATCTGCAAAAAGACAGCCATCCTGAAAAGGGGTGAAACTTAAGACCCAACCCATGTTTTCCCATGTCTGACTGCCCTGCCCTGTATGGTTGCTTCTTTCAGTTCCACCCTGATCTCTATGATCTAGAAAGACAGCCCTCGACACTTGCTTTTGCCTAGCACAGTGATATTCCCAGGGACTTGGGTAGTTCAGTTACTTCTTGCAGAGATGTTTCCTTTCATCTTGACACCTGTTTTTGAGAGATGAGGGCTCACACAACTTTCTGGCTACTGATGGCAGTGACCTTGACATGTTGGCTTTTGAAGAGTACAGCAGGAAGAAAGGTAGTTTTGGGAAGCAGAAGGTTGGCAGCAAGCGGACACCTAAGTACTGTTGTGGAGTCCACATAGCTTCACCTTTTGAGCGTGAGAAGAATTTCTTAGTCTGAAAGAGTACCAAGGAACAGTGGGATTTGGTAGGTTTTAGAAAGGGAGAAAACCTTACCAAATAACAAAGATGGGAAGTTGGGTTATGCGGACACACTAAGAATAAAGGCACAGAGGCACAGGCGGGAGCTTTGGTCTGTGTGAGAGGTGGAGAGAGGAAGGTGTCAGCATGCACAGTCCTCGACACCCATGTACTACCTGACCTTCTAAGCCACAAGAAGTTCAGACAGAAGCTTCAGACCAGGCCAGAACCCTGGAGATGAGTGTTTCCAGTACTGATCTTTCTAAAATAGACAGAACCAATTGTGGTGGTCCATGGGGGAAAAAAAAAATCAGCAGAGAAGTGAAATGGGTGAATGTGTGGACAGAGGAACAAGGAAAATGGAAAGAGATCAGCTGGAGATTTAAAAGACAGGAAGCAAGAAAAATCAAGTTTGTGATGTGGAGTTCATATGATTAAAGACACTGGGCAGTTGGAGGGCAGCTCAGTGGGGATGAGAGGAATCCAGCTCCAGTGACACACACACAAACACCCAGCTTAATCAAGGATAAGGAGAGACAAAGTAAAGGTGAATTCTGAAAGACTTTCACAGAGACTTGGCTCTGCAGGTCCTCATCCCCACCAGCACAGAATATGGCAAAGGATGACGTCAGACATCAAGAAAGGGGAATGTCACCATGCCTGTCAGCAGCATCCGACCATCAAGAACAGGACTGAGCTCCAAGAATGAGTCACTGGATCTAGTGGCCCAACAGCACTAGGACACGGACTAACATGGGTTTGTGAAGGTCACCAAGGATGAGCGACAGGAGGAAGGAAGCTCAGAGGAAACTTCATGTAGATGGCACAAGCCTTGTGCCGACATGAGAGGGAGGGGAAGCAAAGGGAAAGGGGCCAGCAGGGCACACCCAACCAGGGTCTCAAGGACACGCAGGAGCCTGACTCCCCAAGCTGGATAAGGTGACGAAGGACCTGCACACAAGCAGCAACGCGCAGGAGAGTGCTCCTGCTCATCTCACAAGACCGCTGCCTGCCCAGAAGGGACCTTCTACTCCCGGCACACTGAGGCAGCAGGGGAAAGTACCAACATCAGGACGGCCACTGGCTGGCCTGTCACAGCACAGGACCTTCTACATCTCCCTCCTCACACGGTCTTTGTGTGGCTCCGAGAGCAGAGATCCAACCCTCCTCAGGCTCTTGGTAATAGCATAGCAAGACTAGAGAGGACTGGAATAAAAATCCAAATAGCAGTGCCATTCAGATACTCCTCCACTATCCTAGGGAACCTACTGGATTCCTGACACGGGGCGCAGGGAGAACTGTACCAGCTGCCCTTGGTATCTTAGCAAAGAGATAAAAGTAATGGTCAGAGTGAAGTTTGTTTATGACTATAAACCTATTTTGTCTATTTTAGGCAACAAAGGCAAAACAGAGTTGGTAGGAAACTTGTTCCACAGAAGTCTTTTGAAAAAAGTGTAGATGAAACCCTCCTACGTTTCGGAGCATTAAGCATGGACTGCTCTTTTCAAAAAGCTCCTATTGAGCGTGACTGAATCAAAGAACATCCTGTTTCAACAATAACTATTTATGAAAAATGATGGGAAAGTGGCTTTACTTCCAGAAACCCCAAATTGAGCTTTGCGCTCAGTACATCCAAATATAATCACTGTCTCCAATAATATAAAGTATCAGAAAAGCAAGGGGGCTCATGTTAGATAGGTTAGACTCGCAGGCAATGAAGCACTTCTTTAATTTGCTGTTTTGGTTTGCTGCTAAAGCCTTTGAAGAGAATTATGTGCCCTCTGCCCATCAGCATCTCACCATCTTCTACCAGGGGACATCCCCTCAAGGAGGCTTAGTAGGAAAGCCCTCCACTTGCAGAATTTCATAAGTCTGCAAAGATGAACAGTGCAGAGGGCGGTACCACGGCCAAGGCCCAACTTTACCACCAGGCCACAGCCCACGGAGGGTGGTGACAGTGCAGCCTGCAGGCCAGGCTTCCCTCTGGTCCCAGCCACATTCCCACATGCTCCCCCGACTCACACTCCGAGGAAAGGATGATGGAACATGACAGCATGAAGGGAACACAGAAGGACACACCCTGGGGAGCGTCTCAAGTCACAGTGCTTTTCTCCTCATTTCTCTTGATTCAGAAACAAATCAGCAGGGAAGACAAGGGCATGGCGGGCAGAAATCAGAGCTGAAACAGAGCAACACATTCCATGTTCACCATTTCCAAGGGGATTATCCTATCAGTAAGATTTATAGGGGCTTCAGTTCAGGGAATAATTCACAATTAACCAGGACAAACTGATTCAGCACCATACAAATAACAACTAATTAAGATAAGGGCACATCAAATGAGTCACATTAATGCGTCTTTTTTTTTTTTGGGGAATTGGGGATTGAATCCAGGTGGGCTTGCTCACTAAGCCATGTCCCCAGCCCTTTCTTAATTTTTAATAAAAAAAAAACCAAAACAACAACAAAAAAAACTTTTGCGACAGCTATTAAGTTGCTGAAGGCTTTGTTGATGAGGCTGGCCTTAAACTTGTGATCCATCTCAGCCTCCTGAGTTGCTGGGATTACAGGTGTGCATTATTGCACTGGGCTACACTGATGAGTTTTAAAGTCAGTTTGAAATAAAACATCAACTAGAAAGACACACACTTGAGGAAGGGAATCTGGAAACCCTGGCTTCTGCTTACACTCTTCTGTATTCTGAATTATTCGTGTGTATTTTTATGTGTTTGCTCTGGTACTAGGGATGGAACACAGGAGTGCTCTACCACTGAGCTATATTATATCCCCAGGCTTTTTTTTTTTAAAATATTTATTTTTTAGTTTTAGGTAGACAACAATATCTTTATTATTTATTTTTTAAATTTTTATGTGGTGCCAAAGATAGAACCCAGTGCCTCATGCATGCTAGGTGAGCACTCTACCACTGAGCTATAACATTAGTCCCTCCCCAGCCATTTTTTAATTTTTTATTTTTGATATAGGGTCTTGCTAAATGACTGAGATTGGCCTCAAACTTGTGATTCTCCTGCCTCAGCCTCCTGAGTTGCTGGGATAACAGGTCCTGTGCCATGGTTCCCGAGATTTTACACACACACACACACATATACATAATATATATATATTTACTTTAGTTCTAGGTGGACACAATATCTTTATTTTATTTTATGTTGTGCTGAGTGAGGATCAAACCCTGTTCCTCACCATGCCAGGTAAGCACGTTACCACTTGAGCCACATCCCCAGCCTCCTGCTATATTTTTTCCAACCAGAAGAGTTACAATGAAGGAGGAAAAATTCTTATACCAAACATCAGGGAAAGCAGTAGGCCAGAACTAAGGTGAAGCTGACCCATCTGGCAAAGACCTTCGGAGCCAAGCGGCTTATTCTGTAGTGGGTACAAAGAGTATGAGAGAACTGTGCTCCCTGGGAACACTGGAGCTGGGCCAAGCCTCCTCTGCCAGTGCCCTCCATGATACTGAACACAACGGGCAGGAAGAGCACACGTTGGCCTCCAGCTCAGGCAGGCTGTCTCTGGAGCACTTGGTTAGCTCGTATACTATGGGATACAGGAGGACTGTTCTCCTGGCAGAGGCAGACAACTGTTCTCAGGAAGTTCAGCCCAGTGCTGAACGTGGGGCTGTGCCAGAGATTTGGAGGCCTATGTGCTTCTGGGCTCATTTGTTTTCAAGATGTGTAGTCTAGTACTTGCCACCCAAAGTGTGGCACCAGCAGCATTTGGTGTCCCCTAAGAACATCCCAGAAATATCAAAAGTTAGGGCTCTACCCTATACCTAGTGAATAGGTTTTGCTTTTTTATAACAATCCCAACATGAGTCTTACACCTGCTGAAAGTGTGAAGAGCTGGTATAGTGTGCAAAGCTCAAGCTGGGAGTCTAGGGAGCTGCCTTCAGTCTTGATGTCACCACTATCTTAGAGTGAAAATGTTTCTGGACAAGTTAGCTCTCTTCATATGTCAAAGGAAGGAACTGCTGCGGAGGACAGCAAGGCTTCTTCCTGCTCTGACTTTGCAGACAGTACATGGATGGTTCTAGACTGTGGTCTGTAAAGGTTGGGGAAATGGCAGTAGTACCCTCAGAATCAGCCACCACCATACAAACCCACTGCTGAGCCCCCTCAGGTTTTATATTCTTTCCATAGAGCTGGCTCCTCGTTCCTTACCTTTAGGTTCAAACGTTGGTAGTCACTAGCCTTTGGCCGCCGAGTTACTTTGGATCTTTTTCCTTCCAAAGCAAAAGCAATAATCTGGGGAAAGAAAAGGAAAAGTGATTAACAAATGGCTCTATAATAACACATTTCAGTCCCTGAAATCAGAGGCAGTCGCTTGGTAGTACATTTGCTAATCACTGGACTACAGAAAGAGAAGTATACCCACAAAGAGCCCCATTTAAACTACAAGATGTGGGAGTGGGAGTGGTGTTCGTTGGGATGGAAACCAGCTCAGAGCCTAGTGCATGCTAGGCAAGTGCTCTATCAGACTGGGAGTGTGGCTTAGTTGGATAGTGTTTGCCTAGCATATAGCAAAAAGCCCTGGGTTTGATCTCTAGGTCCTCAAAACAAAACAAAAAAAACTGTTAACAGTTTAATAATGATGGAGCCTAATTACATCAGAATTCTTTATATTGCTTAACAATAACAAGATGTTATTGTTGAGCCCAGTTGTGGGAGTTTGCAGGATGTAACCTAGGGTACTCAGTCAAAGGTCTGTCAAGCCCTGCCCTGAGAGCTCTAGGAAGATTGTTCCTTTGTTACTATTATTTCTTAAATTCTGAGACAAAGTCTTATCAACTTGCTAGGACAGCCTGGAACTTGCCACAGTGACCAAATACTCAGACTCCTGAGTGGCTGGGATTACAGGCATGTGCCATCTCACCCAAATCTTTTTGTTTTATTTATGAAAAAAAAATTTTTTTGTAGTTGTTAGTGAACAGAATGCCTTTGTTTATTTTTATGTGGTGCTGAGGATCAAAACCAGTGCCTCATGAATGCTAGGCAAGCACTGTGCCACTGAGCTACAGCCCCAGCCCCAGCCCCAGTCCCAGCCCCAGCCCCAGGAATGTATATATTTTTACTAATAGTTTTCTCTCATTTTAATGCCATGCCATAGACTTGATGGCCATCATGAATTGAATTTTCTTTTTCTTTTTTAAATTTTTTTTTTTGTAGTTGTAGATGGACAGAATACCTTTATTTTATTTTTATGTGGTGCTGAGGATTGAACCCAGGGCACTTGCTAGGCAAGTGCTCTGCCGCTGAGCTACAGCCCCAGCCCATGAAATGAATTTTCCAATTTGAACCAGGTTACTGAAACTACCTTCTAAATTCTCAGGGTTCAACAGGATTGTTTTAAGGGACATGGGTACCACTTCACACTAAATGCTACTGAAGAAATAAAAAATGTGTTTATCTGTAATTTTTTAAATTTCTTCTGATTATCCCTGCAAAAGAGAGTCTTCGCTATTGATATCAGAGTGTAGCTGAATCTATTCTTCCAGCCACCATAGATGGAAGACAGGCTGGGAAAGGAAACTAGAAATAATACATTGTCTCAGTCATGGAAAAAGGAAAAGAGCTCTGCCTCAAATACTTGGGTCCCCTAAGGCTGTCAAGCATCTAAAGTCAAGGTCATGGGAGGAGGTCTCACTTTAGCTAATGTTATAATCTTGTCCTAAGTTGGCACCTAATGCAGCAAGACTCAGGGGAAACAGGTCACATAGTTTATAAAACAAGAATAAGGAATCCTGGCAGGGTCTGAGGAAGAGTGGCAGTTTGTCTTAAAATCCCCAGTACTCATACGCAGATAAGCCATGGATACCTGCCCTGCACCAGCAAGTCCCCTCTCTGAGGCAGCACCTGGCTTACCTTCCGCTTATTGTGATAGGCAATATAGAGGACTGCGACGAGAATGGCCGCAGTGACCAAATACGCAAAGAAGTGGCTGCTCTCTGCGCTGGCACCTCCAGGATTGTCCTTATAAAGGTCATTCTTGTCACTATTCATGGAATCCAAAAGTGACCCTTCATGGTTCTCACTGGAGGCAGGGCTGGACATCTTTTTCTCCTCTCCAGTTGGTGAGCCCTCTTCAGGCCCTGTATCACCTTCTTCAGCAGGCTCTACAGACTCATCTTCTCCCTCCTGCTGGGGAGAAGAGAGGTCCGAGTCCATCGTCACTCTCTCCCCAGCTTTAGTTTTGGAAGTCTGCAGAGAGGTATGCTCTTTTCCAGGCTCCTGGGTTTTATCAGTCTTGGATGTCTCCTGGTTATCTGAGGGGGGACTGGAGCCTCCTTTCGGGGGCCCCAGGCCGGGTTCCGACCCATTGGCACCTCCTTTCAGGGGTCCCTGGCCCGGTTCCGACCCGCTGGGGCCTCCTTTCGGGGGCTCCTGTCCAGGTTCCGACCCGTTGGCACCTGCTTTCTGGGAGACCTGACCCTGTTCCGATCCTATGGCGCTTCCTTTTGGGGGCTCCAGATTCAGTTCCGACTCGCTGGCGCCTCCTTTCTGGGAGGCCTGCCCCTGTTCCGATCCGCTGGCGCTTCCTTTCGGGGGCCCCTGCCCCTGTTCCGACCCGCTGGCCCCGCCTAGGGTGGAAGGCCGGTTCGGAGGGGGCGGCTGGGTCTCCAGGATTTTGTTGCCCTCCTTTCCTGCAGAAGGCCGGTCTGGAGTTCCTCGGGTCGGGACCGGGGTTAGCCTATCCGAACCTTCGGCGTTGGGACGTGGGTCAGACGACACGGAGCCTGAAACAGAAAACCGGTAAGCCCAGGAGACAGCAGGCGGGAGAAAAGGGGCTCAGAGCCGCCGGAGACCGGGCGACGGCCGCAGGGGGCGCGGCGGCGAGCGGAGGGGTAGGGCGGGCAGGGGAGGAGCGAGCCCAGGCGGCCACTGGCCGAGGTGCAGGTAGGGAGCTTGGGGCGAGGATGGGATGGGCAGGGGTCTCACCCGCCGCAGCGACATTTAGCAAGAGACACGCAACCAGGAACCACATCCTGAACAGACTGCGCTTCCTTCTTGTACTGCTCTCGCGAGAGCGGCGCACAGAGCTCCGAACTCGTAGCCACGCCTCTTCCTATGCGTGCCTCCCTGCGTCGTGCGGCCCCGCCCTTTCCGTGAGGTCTGCCCCTCCCACGGCCCTCCTTGGCCCCGCCTCCTTGGCTTGGCTCGGTCCTTTCCAGGAGGCCCGCCCCTCCCGCGGCCCTCCGTGGCCCCGCCTCCTCGGCCCCGCCCCTTCCAGTCCCTCTCTCCCCCTCGTGGCTTGTGCTGGGTGGGCCTGGGCTGGGAGTATTTTCCGATGACGGCCTTGGTCTGGGGTTCAAAACCGCAGGCCGCCGCCTCTCACAGCTGCTTGGAGTCCGAGGCCGCCCAGGATCTTTGTTAAAAAGCGCATCCTTTTCTGATCGCATACGTCTAGTAAAAAGAAAATCTTAGTTTTCCCCTCTGCGATAGTCGTTCTTAAGAGTTTTGAGGGTTTTATGCTCTACAAACATGGCTCAAAATCAAATAAAAAAATTACTCAAAAATCAAAACAGGATTTTCAAAGAAATATACATTAGAAAATTCTAGCTCTCTACTAATCTACTGGTTACTATTTGTAGTTATTTTCTCTTTCTTGCTTGGTGTGTTTTCTCTGACTTTTTCTATGCATATAGATTTCCTCCCCAAGTTGGAATCATTGAATAGTTTTGTACTTATTTATATATAGTTTCTGTTATGTTTAAACATTGTGTGACTTGAAATCATTTTATGAACGTTTGCCAAGGCTAGGTGCTTTTACACAGCGATTTAAAAAACGATAGGTTTGAGGTGGGGGTATGGCTCAGTGATGAAGCCTTTTCTAGTATTGTAAAGGTACTGGGTTGGATCCCCAGCACTGCTAAAAATAGGTTTTCCCAGAAGTTGGTGTCTGCCATGCACCTGTGGTCCCACTACTCAGAAGACTAAGGCAGGAGGATGGCTTCAGCCCCAGGAGTTGGGCAAGATAATGGAGTGTGTAATCTAGTGAACCACATGAATAAATAAAAATATGCACATGTGTGCATTCCAAGCAGTACCAGAAAAGAGTTTGAAGTGGGGATCCATTAAGGAGGGGAATCTTGGAGCTGAGGATTGCAGTTTGTAGTTGGGTCCCAGGTGAGGCTGAAGGGAAGACAGGTGTTACAGCTCATACAATGGCCTGCAGTTGGGTGAGAACCTGGTATTCTGTGGAAGTCTAAAGACCAGGCTCGTCAAACAGCAGCAAGGAAAATGACAGGAAATGAGGCTGGGACACCATCAAAAATATATGTGCAGGGCTGGGGGCATAGCTCAGTTGGTAGAGTGCTTGCCTTGCATGCACAAGGTCCTGGGTTCTAATCCCCAGCACCACACACACACTTTTGTGTACACATGCAGTGAATTTTTAGTTTTATGTGGCCTCTGCACCTGTTTGGAGCAAATTTTATTTCTTCCTTCTAGAAGCAGGGCTTAGTCACCCTTCACAGTTTCTAGTTCTCCACCTGCCCCCACATCCTCAATGTGACCCATCCTGAAATCTGCCCTATGCAATAGCTTCCTGTAACCATTTCCTTATAGGACAAAATCAAATAAACTTAAGTTCAGGTAATACAGATAGTTCAACAGACCAGAGTCTGATTGGTCAGTCTGTTCTGGGCATGATAGCAATTAGGACAATAGTTCATTCATAGCACAATGGAGTGATTCAGAAGTGTATCCAGCTTACTCAACCTGCTCTGACCCCACACCATGCTTCCAGGTGCTGCCCAGACACCTGAGTGACCACCTCAGTGAGTCATAGCTCCGAGCTCCTTCCTGTTCTCAGCCCCACTGTCAGAACTGGCCACAGGAGACACATGTAGGCAACATGCTGGGCCGTAGGGGACAGCTTGTGACAGCTCACGGCCCCACAACTTCTGTCTTGCTCCTCACTCAAGTAGTCCCAGAGGCTGACCCTTTCCCATGGGCCCTGCTGCTGTCTTTTCTCTGGTCTGTGAGGGACACACTGCTTCTGGAATGGATTGTCTTGTCTCCTTCTCCATCCTACCAGAACTAACTTCTTTTAGGGTAGGGGCTCTACTGGAGATTGGCTATCGCTGTGGAGATAAACTGGCACAGGCCAGACCAGAGCCACAGGGGTTTCTGCCAGTATAAACCCAATTCCTGTAAGAGGGCCACTTGGTCACTGGTGGATACTTTAGGCATCAGGCCACCTGAAGGGCAAAGTGTCCTGTGAAAGACACTGCACACACCCATGCCACGCACCTGAGCTCCCTCAGCACAGGGCCAGAGTTCACAGCCACTCTCTGGAGAGATACCTCAGGACAAATTAGCCTAAAGCATGACATGGGGGGGACTTTTAAAGGGTACAGGGTAGGGCTGGGGATGTGGCTCAAGCGGTAGCGCGCTCGCCTGGCATGCGTGCGGCCCGGGTTCGGTCCTCAGCACCACATACCAACAAAGATGTTGTGTCCACCGAAAACTAAAAAATAAATATTAAAATTAAAAAAAAAAAGGGTACAGGGTACAGAGTTTCTTTTTGGGGTGATTAAAATGTTCTGAAATTGAAAAATGTTCTAAAATACTCCATACTCAACATACTAAAAAACATTAAAATTGTCCAATTTTTTTCTTGTGATTCTGGGGATGGAACTCAGGGTGTCTCACATTCTAGGTAAGTGCTCTGCCCTGAGCTCCACCCCAGCCCTGTTCACTGTGTTAAATTGGTGAATTGTAACTTTGAATAGATTAATTAAATCTCAATAAAGCTATTTCCCAAAATATTAGCCACAGTGAAACCCTGGGAAGCAAGCACACTGGGAACTGCAGAAGCACAGGCAGAAGTCCTCCTGGTGGCAGATGGGTTCCACTGTGAACTGGAAGAGCCCAGTCAATATCCACGACACCACAGCTTGGCCCATGTGCATTTGGGACTGGAGGCAGGTTGGTGTTCCAATCATGTTAGGATTGATTCTGTTCCAACAGGGATGTGTGGACATAGCCTGGTTTGATGGAGGCTCCATTCCAGGGAAGGAAGAGGGACACTCAGAAGGTATTACAACTGCAATTTTATTTTCTTTTGTGAAAGTAAACAACAGGGAGTTTAAATTGCTCCAAAACCCATAAAAACAAAATGAAATACACACAGAGAAAGCACGTGAGGTGACAGGGAGGGCAGAGGGTCTTCTGGCTTTGGCAGATTGTGCTGGCGAGGGCCCAGGTGACAGCAGCTGGGCTGAGGGGTGGGGGGGACAATGGACAAGGACCTCTTCCTGGGAAGTGGCAGGCACCTGGAGTCCCTTTCAGTGCAGGGGTGGGGACGTCTCAGTGGAGCTCCTTCCCCCGGCTGTGGGGGTGGTAGGGGCTCTGCAGTGCCAAGCCCCAGGGCAGGAGCAGGGGTGCTGATGCAAACAGATCAGGCCCAGGTGTCTTGGCACATGGTCCCATCCCTACTAGAGAATGCAACTGCAGGCTGAGCTTGTGATGGCACATGGTCCCAGCCCTGGTAGAGGATGGGAGAGCGACTGCAGGCTGAGCTTGTGACGAGATCATGGGCTGGGCAACGGGAGAGGCAGGATGGTCGAGATGGAGGCCCTGGGCAAGCTCTCCGGGCACTGGCAACCAAGGGGATGTCCGGACACGGAGGTGAGGAGAGTGTGGACAGCGAGGAGCAGGAAGAGGCAGTGGAGGGCAACTTCTGCCCAGCGCACCCACCGCAGCACAAGAGAGCAACACTACTAAGGAGTTCTTTCTTATGAAGTTTTGTTTTGTTTTGTTTGTTTTTTAAAAAAGCCTGAAGGTCGGCTACTGGTTACACCTATAAAACGTAAAGTGCTGTTGGTACCAGTCACTCTACTGAACAGTCCAGAGTGGTCAAATATTGACCAATAAAGTTTCCTTGTTTTTCTTTTGAGTTGTTTCTCCTCGATGAGTCACAGGAAAGCTTAGTGGGCAGACTTAGTGACCAAGGAGAGAGGCTGGGCCTGTAGCACAGGGAGGGCCTGGTGGGTGTGGAGTGTGGCAGGGAAGGATGGGGGAGAGGTCAGCAGAGCCCCAGGCATGGACCCCAGGGGCAGGGGCCGGGACAAGAGGGGCGGCTGGCTGCCCATCTGGCCAGAGGAGCTGGCTGCAGCCTTCGCAGAAAGAAAGGCTGCCGAATGGAGAGCCAGCTGGGCCCGGGTCTCAGGCTTGGTGGTGAGGGAGAGGGGCTGGGCCTGCTCTGAGTGGGTAGCCGCAGGGGCAGCTGGTGAGGCCAAGGCTGCGGACGGGGTTGCAGGGGAGTCCAGCATGCTGCCATGGGAAGAGGCAGGGCTGTCGCAGGGCTTCTCGGGAGGCAGGTACTGGATGCATGGCTTCTTACTCTTGGAGACCAGAGCACCTAGGAAGAAAGGTGAGAACGTGAGCAGCAATGGCCTGGTGCCACTATGTGCAGCTGGCCCTCTGGTTTCCGGGGCTCCGCATCTGTGGGCTCAACCAACAGTGCACAGGAAATACTCAGGAAAGTTCTGCACCGCACCTAGCACGTAGACCCTTCTCCTCTGCCCTGCTCCCTGAACAGTGCAGCATTTACAGGGCAGTGGACTTGCTGGGTGTCCCAGGTCACCTAGAGACAATATAAAGTGTACAGGAGGATGTGTGTGGGCTGACCAAAGCACTGTGGATGTTGAAAGCCATTGTACACTTGTACTGGCAGGAACACGAGAGGAGTGTGGCTAAATACTTTCACAGGGGAAGCTTCTCTGTGCTAAGTGATATTTTGGGTTAAAAATCTCTAAGTGGCTCTGAAACCAAACTGTTTCTTCTGGTGTGCAGCCAGAGAAATGTGGGAGGCAGCCCAGATCTCCTGGGTCTGCTGATGAGTGGCGTGGCAGTCTGTGCCGTGCTGTCTTCCCAAGGGCATTTCCGGGGTGATTTCAACCACGTTCATTTTTGCCTTCTGCACCAACCCTAGAACCTCACCCCCAAGATGCCACTGAAAAGTGCCTGGGCTTTGAAGAGACAAAGTCCCAGGACTCACCGTCTGCCTCCTGCACTTGCTGCTGCGACTGTGCCTGAGACAGTTGCTTTTCTCTCTTCCTCTTCTTCTTCTTACCCTGAAAAATAT